TGCATATGAGAGCATGAGGGTGGGAATGGATGTTTGTATCTGTGTGTGCCTGCTTGTCTGTGTCCAAATGTCAGGTCAGGTATGAGACGCCACCTCTCTGGGGACATCTCAGGCCCTCCAAGGTTTGGAGGCCTATGTCCCCCCACCACTTCCCCTGCCAGTGGTGGACGCCCTCAGACATCGGTGTGTTGGTGATTCTTTGTGTCCGGGGATGGGCGTCCAGGTACACACCGGCTCACTCCTGGTGGCTGCTTGTCGGGGCCTGGAGCCTGGGGCTCGCTCAGGCCACATCGGGGGTGGGGTGCCCTCGGCTTCTTGGCCCAGGGCTCAGTCACTCTGGCACAGCTGGCTGCCGGCGGAGCTCACGGGCACGTCACCCCCCCTGGCCTCTGGATGTCTGGAGTCTTGATCTCCTCCATAAATGTGTCAGTTTGAAAAGTTTGTACTGCTGAATAATCTTAAAGAAAATCCAGAAAACCTTCAAAAATGCATGTTGCTTAAATTACAGCACAGCAGAGGCAGTTAAAATGTCAAAGTCGTGCAACCTCACAAGTCACATGCAAGAACTCAAGCAATTAATTCTCACACAAACATCTAATAAAATAATAAACTGACAACATTTTATTTCCAGACGGAATTCTTCTGCTGGCATGCTTCAGATGTTTTGCTGCTATCTGGTAAATGGTGCCTGCGTTCTACACTGTCCATTTGTTAGTGGCATAGCATACTGTTGTTATTAGATACATGAACATCCCTATAGCTAAAAACAGAGCAAAAATTAATTTAACTTTTTCTCAGCAGTGCACACACAGTGACTTTAACATATAATGTACTGTATATTGCAGTGTACTATTAAAAATACAAAGCAATGCATGCATTTATGCACATGGCAGAAACTTTATCTTGCTTTTTTCAGAAAGACCCACATTTGTGATTTTAAACCTGGGTATACAATAATTTATTTTGGACAGGGCCTACATCCCTCTCTACCTCATGCCTCCTCCTCAGGTTTGCTGGTTTTTACTGAAATTAACTGGCTGCAAATAAAATATAACACACTGTTGGGAGATCATCCTGGGATTGCAGCATCACAATAATTTGCCCCTCTTTGTAAATCTTATCCATAGTCTGTAAAATGAAATACATCTTTTTTATATATTTATCTGATGTGATCTAGTGGAACTTCTTTCATCCTCTCTGCTGAGGATTTCTGTGACGGTAAAATTCCATTCATCCATCACTTAAACACACTTTGATCAGTTAATATAGATCAGAGAGCTATAGATTATAGAGGTTATATAAATCTCTGTTCTTCGTGCAAGGCAACAACTCAACAAGAAGTAGGTTTTATTATAACAGTGTTGTTGTAACAAGGACCCAGACTGACAGGCAGTTTTGCCAGCATGTAAATGTTCCTATATATGAGCACAGTGCTAAGCACATTCAGCACATTCAGTGGCACGCTCCTGCTCCAGCTACCTACTAAAATAGGGAGAGCATAACCACCAGATTGGGCCCAACTACCAGCCAGCCTCACTGCCACTTTTCCCTGAACCCACTGCCCCACCCACAGCATGAAATGGAAAATGCATTTACAATTAATGTTTTCATAAATAGTGTTTACATTTACTTTGTTTATAATGTTGTGGCAGTGAGGTGTGATCTTTGGCTCCGCTGCAGAGGAGGGATGGTGCAGCGGGCTCGAGGGGCAGTGCCAGGAAGGCTGAGGTTCAAGGTGGAGGGAATTAGCGTGATGAACTGTTCCTTTTTTAGTAATGCCAGGGACCGGCAGTGGAGAGTGGAGTGTGGAGCCAGCTAGAAACCTGTCCACGGAAAACTGAGAGGTGCCAAACTGGAAGCATTGTATGTGCCATAACCTTTGAATAAAAAGCAATTAAACAGTTACTGAACACTGTATAGGTCCGAGTCATTCACAAATGTTAATTGTTTTCATGAGTGGTCTGACCTTTGCAATGAGTTATGGGATGGCATTTTCCCCTATTCGTTAAGGCTGGTCCCAGTGTATCCTATCCTAAAAGAGGATCCTATGCTTAGCATGTTTTTATTTTCAGTGGAGAAGACTTTCTTGAACTTAACATGGAGGTTGAGCTATCGACCGCTTCAAACCCTGCGGCTAAATGAACTAAACAGCACTAATTTCATCTTGTTGACTACCTTCCATCAGACTGCAATTTCTGATATTATTTGTGTGTAGACACATTTAAGTCAAAGTACTTGAATCACAGATGGTGATAAAGAAAATCAGTGTTAAAATAATATTTACACCCTCAGTAAATTTAATAATCTAATTCAGTCAATATAGCAAGGACTGCCTGCTCACTGTTGTACTGGTAAAATTATTGGTAAAATTTGTACAATTTTAGGTAAAGATTTACTTCAAGTCTTTAAAGAATAAGTACTTATTCTGTTTTACTATTAAACACTTTAATCATCATAGTTTATAAAGTCAACTATTCATGAGCTAAACAAAAAGAGCTTGTAATAAGTTCCACTAAAGATTTGATATAATCTGCTACGATAGTTTTTTTTCCCTTTCCTCTGTTACTGTAGCACAGTTCCTGTTTGTCTTGGATCAATAAGGCTGTAGCGCCTCTTAGTGGCCATTAAATACTGTACATTTCAATTAATGCACTGATTAAAATGAAAGACGCACTGATAGTTATTTAAATAAACATTATTCCAAACTAATAATGATACAAACTTTGTTTCTGATGTCTCTCCTCCAGAAGAGTCCCTCTTTTATAATCAGATACCATGGTACAGGTTTGTTCTGGAGAACAGACGAAGATGGGTTTTAAGAAGGCATGGACCACAGAGAAATACTCTCTAACTATGATAGGACTTTCCAGATGACTGCTTATGCGAGCCCTTCATCAGTTTGTGAGTTACTGTGTATTTTAGCTCTTTGGTGTACATAAGAGTGACATCATCACCACAATGAGGAACAGGATGAGCATGGCCAGAGCCCTACAAAATGATCTCCAGCAGGCTACAAGCGTGATTTTCTCTGACAAAACAATCAGAAACGGACTTAATGAGGGTGACCTGAGTGGCCAACGTCCACTAGTGGGCCCTGTGCTCACTGCCTGGCACTGTGGAGCTCAATTAAGATTTGCCAAAGAAGAGCAGAATTCAGAATTACCAGGTCCATCACTGGTGCCCTGTGCTTTTCACAGATAAGAGCAGGTTCACCTTGAGCGCATGTGACAGACATGAGAGGTTCTGGAGAAGCCGTGCTTCTATGATTTCTGCAGTGATTGTTCTTGTCATCCTCATTTATACTGGTTATACTGGTGTCATTAAATATTGTTCCATTTCATTTTAAGGCTTTCTTTGAACTGCAGTCTATTTAATCTATTTTTAGATTTGTTTTTCTAAAAGAAAATAGCTATGCGATGTCTGTTGTCTGTTTGTTTTTGATTTTTTTTGTCTGGCAACAAAAAGTCTTTGCATACAAATGTCTGACCATGTACTAATTTACAACAAGTGTAAC